CATCTGTAACCACTTCTCTATGCTCTCTTTCCCAATCAATTAATCAGCTTTTCCTCTAACCAGAATCTGTTAATTATTTGTAAGGTCAGATCCTTCTAGGACACTGAAATTATGTTGTAAGTTAATATCGCCTTTCTCCTCTCCTTATGTCTTTTGAATAGTTCACTTTAAAGCAATGCCCATTTTGTATAGATACAGAAAGACCATTAATATTATACTTTGTAACTTAGGATTTAATTGGCTCTGAATATTATTCACTCCCGGGCATCTGCTTTCTCGACTTAAGCCTCAGTTGCCCTTGGTCCCTAACACCCCAAAAGCAGGGTCCCGACGAGGGACTGAACGGACCCAGCGCAAGCAGTGAGCTACCCTGGCATCAAAATGGGCCAGGCCAAAGCGCCACGATTCTTAACTCTAAGTTAAGAGTTTGATCATAGACAAATGCCGTCATGATCCAAAAGTAATGACGATACTAGGACCCTGCTAGGGATAGGAAGGACTATCTGGCCTGAGCACTATAGTCTGAGATTGAGATGGCCCTAGGAGAGCAATTCTGTAAGTTTAAGGTATTTCTTACTATATCCATACAAAATGATTTATATTATGTATGCTTATATGTTTGTTGGACAAGGAGAGGAGAAACACGCCCAGGGGATTCTGTTCTAGGGTGGGTCGTCCTGCTGAGAGAGGATCTGTCCTAGAAGCCTCTTTCCCCGAAGGAAAGAATTCTACCCCTATTGATTGTGACCACACCTATGTGTAATTGTTACCCCAACCCCTCATGCTTTGGGATTTAACTGTACTGTAAGAATGGGCTGGGGGATCAGAATCCAGACTCCAGACCAAGAGGAGAAAGGGAATTGGGTTCAGTATCCAGATTCCAGAGTCAGAAGGAGGATGAAGAGGGATTGAGGAGAATGAAGTAGCATCGGGGAGGAAGAAGCAGGAGGAGAATCGGAGTAGAATGGAGATGGGAATGGAATAAACTGCAACTAAGACCAGCCAGCCTGGGCCTCGTTCCTTCCTTCACCTGCCCATCGCCATCGACCTCCCCGGGGGGCCAGGGGGGGGAACCAGCATGAGACCACCAAACGCGGGCGGCGAGAGAGACAGACCGCCGCTGCTGCCGTCTTTTTGAGTTTACACACAGAGTTATATATAACCAAGTTTTAGACAGAATATTCCAGCCCCAATCCCACCACCAGTTCTAAATTCCCTCCACAGCCTTTAACAACCAACTTAAAAATTTATTTATCAAAATAGATTTTTTAAATGTGTCTCATGGGGCTGGAGTGATAGCAATAGTGGGTAGGGTGTTTGCCTTGCACACGGCCTACCCGGGTTTGATTCCCAGCATCCCAATTCCCACCAGACCCGATGAGGCTAAAGAAGGTACTGACTGCTGCCACCTGGACCACCTGCAGGACCCCTCAGTGTCAAAGCAACCAAGTTCGCCCTTTCTTGCCATCTCCATCACTGTCCCCCTTCCCTCGGGGACTCCCCCAACTCCTGGTCTTCTCTTTTCATGTACTCTCCTCCACAAAGCAGAGCAACCCTCTGAAAAAGTGCTTCCAGGGATGTCCACTCTGCCATGATCTCCACCCCTCCCCCAGCTTCCTGCCCCTCCTGGGGAAAGGCCAGGTGTCCCGGATCCTGCACGGTCGATCCCTATCCTTCCCCTATGGCCCTGGTTTTGCTTATCTTGGAGGTAAGATCCGCTGCCACTGGCCCAGTTTAAGCTGGGCCCACACCCTTCATTGCCTGAATTAAGATGTGCGTTACTCCTGTTTCTAATACTGGTGCTTGTCTTCTTTTTGTTTGGTGGGGATTGGGGGGCGGAGGGGGTCACATCCAACAGGGTTCTCAGGGCTTACTCTTGGCTCTGTGCTCAGGGATCACTCACTCTCGGTGAGGCTTGGGGGAAACATATACGGTGCTGGGGATCGAACCAGGCTGGGCCATGCGTAAGGCAAAGCACCCCTTCTACTATAGGACTTGTCATCAGATCTAAGTCTTCTGAGGGAGAGTCTCATGTCTCACACCTTATTCCAGATCCACCTAGCTCTGCAATACCGCCTGCCACCAAGTTTGGGAATGAATGAATGAATGAATGAATGGGTGGATGAATTCTTCAGCACTGAAGATGCAGGCGGCCAAGTGAGCTCCCTCTCCTGTCCATCGTCCCTCCCCCTGATGCCTTCAGGTAAAGGACAAACGGTCTCCATTAGGAAGGAGATGCCGCCAGGCTCAATGTCATCACGGCTTTATCTGATTAGTGCCGGCTGCGGCATCCAGACACGTGTGCTGGGAGCCAACGCGACGGTGCCCTGACCTCGGGTCCACTCGATCCCAGCCTTATAACTATTTCCATGACAACAGCCACAGAAAGCCACGGCTGTGAATTCCCTTTGATACCAGCCAGATGCGGCCTCAGGAAGAAGGACTTTCTCAGAAGAATGAAGCCCTTTGATTCAGCCCAAGGCGCCTTCATTAAATACCTACTATTTCCCAAGAACACACACTTTCACCCTGCAGAGGGGCAGTCGCTTGCTCGTGAATGCTAAGAAAAGAAAAGAAGACAGGCGAAAGAAACAAAAGCCCAGTCAGTCCTTGTTGGGTCCCTAAAAAAATGCATTCACCTGGGTGGCAGGGCCGGGGACGGGGTGAGAAGGGAAACGGTTTGTCTGCTGTGGTGTCAACCAGGTTTGGGTGCGAAACGGCAGGGCAGTGGCCCCAGCATGCACCCCAGAATGCCTGTCCCTGGATGGGGCACTCAGGGTGTCCAGGAAACCTGGCTGACCAAGCAGGTGGGAGGTGGAAGGAAGAGACCACAGGGCCCGTGGATGCGATCCAGAACCACAGGCCCACGCCATGAACCCAACTCTCCCGCTTACCTGCTGGGTGACCCTGGGCATCCCAAACACAACTGTCCCTCACTACGCAAATGGTGCTGGACCAGCTCCCCACTTGCGGGGACAGCACGAGGATCATGGGAGGGGTGCACATGAGCACAGGCAAACGGTTCCATCAAGGCACGGCCGCCAGCGCTGACAGAATAACGAGATGAGGCTTTGCCCAGGAAAGGGGGCTGCTGGTGTTTAACCTGACAGTCCAGAACAGGCCTGGCTTACGGTTACCCCGGAAGAGAATGGGTCCATGATGGGGACCCTAGAGAAGGAGCCAAACTATCCAGAGAGAGAAGGGGGGGAGGGGGAGAGGGAGGGAGAGAGAAAGAGAGGGAGAGATGGAGAGAGAGGGAGGGATGGAGGGAGAGACAGAGAGAGGGAGGGAGGTAGGGAGGAAGGGAGGGAGGGACGGAGAAATGGAGACAGAGAGACAGAGACAGAGAGAGACAGAGAAAGACAGAGAGAGAGAGAGCCCCTAAACAGTTTCCTGATTTAACACTTCTGCACCTCGGGGGGCTTGAGGCACGTCAGGCAAACCCAGCGCCCTGGGACCCTGCAACAGGATGTCTTGGCCAGCGCTGACCCAAATGGGCAACGCCAATGGAGAGTAAGTGAAGACAGAGATGTTACTCGGACCCTGAGGAGGGCGGGAAAAGGAGGCAAGTGACGGTCACACGCGCCCGAGCCCAGCCAGGCAGGGGAAGAAGCCGTGTCTGAAAAGCTCTCGTGTCCACCACCATCTTCCACCTCAGACACCTCTTCCTCCTGGTGAGGCGCCAGCGCCCACCTCAGGAAGGCATCTGGTCTCAACTCAGGTCTCTGGGACCTGGGGCTGGAGCGACCCACGGTCCTCCCCCCGGAGGCCAAGGCCGTGAGTGCCTGCAGGGGACAGAGGAGTCGGGGAACAGAGACCCAGGCTCACATCCTGTCCTGTTGCCTGCTAGCTCTGTGACTTTGGGTGTGTCCCTTCTCTTCTCTGCCATCCAGTCAGCTCATTCTGCTCTTCTGGGGACTCACCCTAAGAGTCTGGCCCATGCCGGGGCCTAGGAGTGACAACTGCCAGTGACTGAGTAAGAACATTTCACAGCCGGCAGTATCAGCTGGCTAACGGGCGGGCAGGCAGGGGTCCTGCCCACCACTGCTGCCAGGGCTGGGAGGAGGCTTGGCAATGCTGGTGTGACGATCATTCATCTCATCCTGATCCTGTGGTTCACCCCAGCATACACACTTATTTACTCACAGACACACACACACACACACACACACACAGACTCACATGCACATTCATTCACACACACACACACACTCTGACGTATTCAGTTATCCACTCTCACATTCCATCTCTCATTTACTCATCCATACGCTCTTTTACTCATGCACTCAAACACACATTACTCATGTACTCGTTCACACATACTCATTCAGACTCAAATTCACACAACCACACCCACTCAAATGCTTACACTCTCACACTCATTCATCAGTTTGATTCACACAAATTCTCTCATCCATACCCCACTGGCTCACTCTCATTCACACTCACACATTCGCACTCATTCACACACTCAGGCATGCACACTCACACTCATACACTCACACTCCCTCCCTCGCACATTCACACTCACGCATGCTCTCGTATCAACACACACACTTGCTCTCACAATCACACACGTATGCTCACTCACACTCTCACACCCACACACTCACACTCCCAATCACGTTCTCATCATTGCACAGTCAAGCTCTCACAATTGCAAATTCTTGCTCTCACACCGGCACACTGACTCACACACACACACACACACACACACACACACACACACACACACACACTCACGCACTCCCACTGCACTCAGCCCTTCTGCTCCCTGGTCCCCATCGGCCCCAGGCCTCCAAACTTATTTGGTGCGGTCCAAAAGACAACAACCACACTCCTCAGTACCCGACCGACTCCCCTTGTCCTCTCCCAGTGAGTGTCCCCCAATCCCTGAGGCCTGTGCTCCCCGCAGCTCTGCCCATCCCCCCAGCATGGTCCCCCCATTCCCCGAGGCCCCTGCTCCCCACAGCTCTGCCCCACGGTCCCACCACACACACCTGGCTGTGCACTTTCTCCAGCTCCTCCTTGCTGACAGATGCTTTCCCCTCCTCCATGGTCCCCAGCAGGAGCTGCACATCCGACAGCAGCGCGTGGGTCCTTCTGAGGTCTCTGCGAAGACGCTTCTCCACGTCAAAGTCCCGGTGTCCAATCTGAAAAGCAAGGGAAGGTGGCCATGAGCAGCCCGGGAGCAAGTTCCTAGGAACAGCCTCCCCACCCTCCCCACATCCCCAGTTGGAATTCAGCCTCTGCTACTGGTGCCTTCTCCTGCTCCAGCCTCGGTCTCCTCATCTGCAGAATGCAAAGGGCCTCAACGACACGGGGCCCGCTGGGCAAAGCAAATGCGTGTGCAGAGCCAGCAGAGACTCCATGAAGGCCCAACCAACACGGGCTCTGCCATCAGGGTTCCCGCAGCCGGGGACAGTCCCATAGTCACACCAGTTCCACATCTAGCGGCTAAGAGCATAGGAGGCTGAGACACAGGGAGGCGACGGGGAGTCTGGAGCCTGACGAGCAGCCCGGTGCCTACAGCCCTGCAGCCAGAAACCCAACCAGCTTCCTCAGCACAGCAGCCACGGGACTTGCCTGGCACTATATACCCCCACCCCCACCCTGGCCCCCAGCACCACCAGGAGTGACGCCAGAGCACAGAACCAGAAGGAATCTCTGAGCACCATCAGTGTGGGTCCAAAATTTAAAAAAAATAAATAAAAAAAGCAAGCAAACAAAAGTCTTGGATTGAGAGAGAGAGAGAGAGAGAGAGAGAGACAGAGACAGAGACAGAGACAGAGACAGAGAGAGAGACAGAGAGAGAGGAGTGCCTGCCATTGAAGCAGGCTGGGGTAGGGGGAGTTGGGGAGTGACGGGAGGGAGAGGAGGGAGACTGGAGACATGGTGCTGGGAAATGGGTGTTGGAACACTACATGATTGGAACCCAACTATGAACAGCTTTGTAATGGTCTATCTTGTGGTGATTCAATAAAAATAATTTTTTTTCAAAAAACTGACAAAGATCATGCACACAAATATATATATACATATATATATATATATATATATATATATATATGGGATTCCATCCCTTTTGAAGAAAGTATTCATCACATCATTTGGGTACTTTAAATGAGGGGGTGGCAGGAGTGGCTGAGACGAGTACCAGGAATTTTGCTCCATGACTTGGAGGCCAGCCACACGTGCTAGGGGAAAAGGGAGCTCAGAGAGAGAAGGGAGCACCAAATAAAGGGTATTGGGAAGATCCTCCGAGGATGGGAGAAGCATGCTGAAAGTAGACTACAGACCAAACATGATTGTCACCCATTGCCTCTTTTGCAAGCCACAGGACCCAAAAGGAGAGAGAGAACAAAAGGGAATGCCCTGCCACAGAGGCAGGGCGGGGTGGGGGGATGGGGGGTGGGAGGGATGCTGGGTTCAGTGGTGGTGGAGAATGGGCACTGGTGGAGGGATGGGTACTCGACCATTGTATAACTGAAACCCAAGCACAAAAATATGTAAGTCTACAACAGTGCCTCATGGTGTTACACTAATAAAAATAAATAAATAAATAAATAAATAAATAAGGGGGGTGGTTAAAGAAAATGGGGTGTGGGGACCAGAGCTATATACAGCAGGTAGGGTGTTTGCCTTGCACACAGCAACCCGGGTTCGATCCCCAGCATCCCATATGGTCCCCCCAGCACCACCAGGAGTAATTCCTGAGTGCAGAGCCAGGAGCAACCCCTGCGCATCACTGAGTGTGACCCAAAAAGCAAAAAGAAAAAGAAAGAAAATGGGGGGTAGGCACCTCAACGAGGGGATCGTGCGCTTACACACTCGACTCCCTGTGGCCCTCTGCCAAGTGAAAAGCATTTTCCGGGATTCTTAGAATCTTGGCCTGCTGCAGAGTGGACGTGGGGTTCGGAGTGAGGTGGCCGGGATCTGAAGCCCTGGTGGGGAGGGCAGTGGTGGTGGGATCATGCCAGCTCTCTGGTCAGCTCTCTGATTGCAGCACCCTCACCCACGAGATAGAACAGGGACGCGCAGAGGTAAGGGCAGGCACGGGCCCTGGTATGGATCCGGAAGCACCCTGCGCACTGTAGAGTGTCAGACACGGCAGCCCCGAGTGCTGTCCGATGACCTAGCATGGGCTGCCCTGGACTAGGAGCTCTTCCTTCTCTACCTCTGCTTTCAAGCTCTTTGAAAAACGAGTTGGTTCTTAGAATGCTTCTTTGTTCTCAGAGACACCTTTGTGTAAAATTTTTAGTATATGTGCTGCCAAAGCGAGCACAACCATTGTGTAAAATTTAAAAGTGGGAGTCTGTGTGTGTGTGTGTGTGTGTGCGTGTGTGTGTGCGTGTGTGTGTGCGTGCGTGCTAAACTGAGGACTGGGCATTATGCCAGATCTTTTGTCACATATTGTTGCTTTTAACTCCTGTGATAATCTCTTTAAAAAAAAAATCAGACATTCTTATTGTTGCCGCAAGAAAGTAAAAACAGCTCACGATTCAGGGATGAGCAATCGTAGTTGTGGTTCAGGTGCTTGCTTTGTCCGCAGCCAAGCTGAATTTGATCCCTGGCATTGATCCCTGGCACTGGTCCCCCGAGCACAGAGCCAGGAGGAAGCTGAGCACCACCTGGTGTGACCCCACAACAACAACAACATTCCTAGGGGCCTTTCTAACGCCAGATGCCATGCAAAACGCTTTCTGGACATAAGACATTTTTGCCCTTGTGATGAGTAAGAGAAGATGAGCCGAATCCTGCTTCCCATTTCACAGATGATGAAACTGAAACTAAGGAGGAGGTTTGCAATTAGCAGAAGGATTCTGGTATCAAGCCCGATTCAGAGGCCTTTCAGCATGCGGCAGGGCGTGGGGTTGGGGGCGGGGGAAGGGCACGTGTGGCTCTTGCTTAGAACAGGAGTGTTCCAGGAGCACAGAGGCACAGGCCGGGCTCAAGCTGGGAGGGATGGGCTTGGGCAGAGCACAGGAGGAGGAGTTACTGAGTAACTGCACCCGAAGGGCATTCTGAGGGAGAGGACTCCCGTGAGCAAAGACAGAACCGAGCAACTGTCTCTAGTTCTGGGGACTAGCCAAGAGGCCTTCAAGCATGGCAAGGGCTAGGGCACAGAGGGAGAGAAGTCGCCAGCTCATGTCCTAAGGGCTGGGTGGGCCTCTTAAACACTTACTGCCCCGGGGAAATGGGAAGGTAGAAGTTAAAACTCCACCCAGAGGGTAAGCAATCCCCTCAAGGATTTCCTAAGTGTGTGTGTGTGTGTGTGGGGGGGGGGGGGGGGGGGGTATGGTGCCACCAGCAGGTCAATCTGTGCCTGTGAGGTGAGTGCATCAGCAGTCTGATGGCGCCTTAGACTTCCAGATACCCCAAAATTGTTTCTGTGCCTTTGCCAGACCCCAAAAACTTGGGGCAAAGTTTACCAAGAAAGTAAATGGCCAAAAGTTAAGTATTGGGAGACACACGCAGAAACCACTTCCGGCTCAGCTATAAAATTGGAGGCAAGGTCTCTCTGGTTCCTTATCGAACTGCTTAACGGCCATGATCCCAGAGACTCAGGGGCAAATCTTGGAACACAGCGGCTTTGGGCAGAGATGTGGCTGGTCCTCGCAATGGGCTACCGGCGCCGAACCACCTCAGGGGGGGAAAGGGTGTTGTCTCACAGCCTGCTCCCCCTTGGCGGCTTGGTGGTTGCCATCCTCCAGAGGCCATTGGACAGTCAGGTTTGGGCCCACAGTGACAAGACACATGGGGCCACACGGGATGGGGGTGGAGCTGGCCCTTTCCTCCCCACCCCAAAGAGACCCCAAGCCACCACCCACAAACGGCCTCTCTGGCTCCTGATCAAGCTGCTTAACGGCCATGATCCCAGAGACTCAGAAACAAATCTTGGAACCCAGTGGCTTTTGGCAGAAATGCGTCTGGTCCCCACAGTAGGTTACCAGCACCAGGCCACCCCAGGTGGGAATAGGTTTCGTGCCTTGGCCTGTTCCCCCTGGCGGCTGGGTGGTCGCCATCCTCCAGAGGCCACTGGACAGTCAGGTTTGGGCCCGCAGTGATGAGACATGCAGGGCCTCATGGGATGGGGGTGGAGCTGGCCCTTTCCTCCCCGCCCCAACGAGACCCTGAGTCACCACCCACGGATGGCTTCTCTGGCTCCTGATCAAGCTGCTTAAGGGCCATGATCCCAGAGACTCAGGAACAAATCTCAGAACCCAACAGGTTTTGGCAGAAATCCCTCCAGATTTAATTGTTAAAATTTCGGAATTCCAAAATCATATGTTATTTATAACCAGTAATAGAAAACAAATTGCCTACTGTCACCTTTTCGGCAGATCTGATTGTTGGGGTAAAATCCCAAATAATGGTGGGTCTGGTGTCAAAATATTGAATGTAATCACAGTAGAGAGAGAGTAATGTGGAAATCATCTGCCCCATACGTAGGGGGAGGGTGTGGGATGGGGGTATACTGGGGTTTTTGGTGGTGGAAAATGGGCACTGGTGAAGGGACGGGTGTTTTTCATTGTATGATCGAGACTTAAACCTGAAGGCTTTGTAACTGCTCTCACGGTGATTCAATAAATAAAATTATTTAAAAAAAGGGGGGGGGATTTCCTAAGTGGGACCTCAGTATTAGTACATAGGTCTCCCGACCACCGTCCCCCACTGTGTCCAGTAGAATCTGAGCCCAGGCTCCCCAGCTCCAAAGCTCTGAGTGTTTTATCACCTACCCAAACAAAAGGGTGAGCAACCTTCATTGTTATACAAGCTCTGTGTGCATTGGGACAAGTTGGCAGCACACACACTCCCTGATGTTGGCCCAAATCATGCAGGACAGATGACTCAGATGCCACCATGTCTGCTGCCACAAAGACCCTGAAAAAGGGCTGGCCCGTCTCCTGTCCAGAGGGATCATTTCAAAAAAAAAAAAAAGGACAAGAGCATCTCGGCATCTCGGACCAAGCCATTATCCCCTTCATAATGAATTGCTACAGGAGAGGATGGGGGAAAAACACCTCATTAGGTTAATGGGAAATAAATGTCATTCTGCGAGTTCACATTTTGCAGCACAAAGATCCGAATTTAGATAAAGCTGGTGAATAATTAACCAATAAATCTAAATGATGTTTAGTGTTGTTGTGGG